GTAGGGACATGTCCCCTCCCTACAAGCTTGGAGTGTCTCACTGCTTTGTACTCAGCAGGGAGCTGCTGCTGTTGTTGCTGGAAAAATTCCCCTCCCTCAGCCAGGTAGCTGCTGTGACGGACTGGGCCAGGCCTGGGCACAGCTGAGGGCATCCGCTCAGGGTGAATTGCTAAAATTTGGGGCTCCTTACAGCACTTAGACTGGAGACCTTTCCAAACAGACCTCGGGGAGAGGGAGAGCTCAGTGGTTTGAGCATTGGTGTACTAAACCCAGGGTTGTGAGTTCAATCCTTGTGGAGGCCATTTAGGGATTTTGGGCAAAAATTTGTCAGGCATGGTACTTGGTCCTACTGTGAAGGTAGGGGACTGGACTTGATAATCCCTGGTCCCTTCCAGTTCTAAGAGATAGGCAATCTCCATTAATTTAAAAAAATAATAATTTCATTTAAACCAGTCTCATAGAGCGCTTCAGCTGCCTGCCTGAAGCCTCGCGAGCAAAACCCCTCCGACATCCCAGCAATATCTGTGCCCCAGATGGCCCTGGGCCTCATACACAGGTGAGGGGTCTTAGAACCCAATCTCACCTACTCTGAACAAGTTCTGTCCAGTTCCAAGAAACCAGCCACAGATCCCAGGTCAATATACACTCTGGATCTTACCCACAAATCACACAGAGCCAATCCTTTAGAATCTACAATCTACAGGTTTATTACTATAAGAAAGAAAAGCATGGGAGTAAGGATGTTAAGGTATCATACATTACATGCATCGAATCTCCCAGTTCTCGATGCAGGCTTGTAGCAGAGATGTTATAGCTGCTGGCTTAAATGTCCTTGGTGCACATCCTATGTCAGGATGGGTCCACAGTGCTTTCTGGCTCTTCAATCCCTGCACTGCTGCCTCTGGGATGAAGGGCTGAGCTGAGTACCAAGATGGAGTCGGCCACCTGGCATATTTAGACCTCCTTCCTGGTTTCTTCCAAGCTGGACACAGTCACATGGTCTCTGACCAGGCACCTAGATTCCTTCATAGGTGGATCTTGGGTACTCAAGGGACCTATTGTCCCTGGAACCTTACTAATTATCATGTTTCTGATTTCACTGTGTTAGTGGAGGGGACCTTAGTTTAGAATTTGCTTTAAACCTGTTTCATTCGTGTTGCTGAAGGTTATAAAATCACATCTGTAAAAAATCATCCTCCAGCTGTTGTCGGGGTTTGGGGCACCAGTTTGATAGTCCTGCCCAGGGCCCATAAATCCTAAGGAAGGTCCTGATGGTATCCTCTCGGCTCCCAGAGCCCCATGGTTAAAACAAAGGCCCCTGTAGAGTTATTCACACCTCAGCCTGCGCTCCCCAGTAAGGGCAGTGACAGTCTATCATGGGCAGGAATCAGGGGGATTATCTGCAGCACCTCATCTGCATTAACTGTGCTGCATGGGACGACTCGTGACCTAACTTGCCATCGGCCCTGCTTCCCCAACAGGCAGATTTCCCGCTATTCCTCATCTCCCACGTTGGGCTGGCCCTCTCCCTGCTGTGCCTCCTCCTCGCCATCCTCACCTTCCTCCTGTGCCGCTCCATCCGCAACGTCAACACCTCCATCCACCTGCAGCTCTGCCTCTGCCTCTTTGTGGCCGATCTTCTCTTCCTCACGGCAGTGGACAGCACCAGCCATCAGGTAAAGTGCTTCCTACCCCAACATAGTGCCTCAGGTGAAAGGCAGTGTGGCCTGGTGGATAGAGCGCTGCATGGAGACCTGGGCTCTAGTCCTTGCTTTCCTATTTGTGACATTGGGCCAGTCCCCTCCCTGCCTGATGCCTCAGTTTTTCCATCTATAAAATGGGGGCAATGGTCTTGACCTTCTTTATAGTGTGAGAGCTTGTTGGGCACGTGACTAGTGGTAGCCTTTAAGTCAAAGAAGAGACCCATGGCAAACCCCTTCTCACAAGAGTAGTTACTGATGTGGCGGGGTGGAGATAGGGGATGTTGGCGGTCAGTATCAAGTGGAATACAGCAAAGATCGGTTCTGGGTCTGGTTTTGTTCAACATCTTTATTAATGACCTGTAGGAGGGGATGGGTTGCACCATCAGCTATTTTGCAGATGACACCAAGCTAAGGGGAGAGGTAGCTATGATGGATGGTAGGGTCCAGAGTGACCTAGACAAATTGGAGGATTGGGCCAAAGGCAATCTGATGAGGTTCAACAAGGACAAGTGCAGAGTCCTGCCCTTGGGATGGAAGAATCCCAGCATAGTTACAGGCTGAAGAACCACAGGCTAAGCAGCAGCTCACCAGAAAAAAACCTGGGGATTACAATGTATGACAAGCTGGATATGAGTCAACAGTGGGCCCTTGTAGCCAAGAAGGCAAATGGCATACTGGGCTGCATTGGTAGGAGCATTGCCAGCGGATCTAGGGAAGCGATTATTCCTCTTTATTCAGCGCTGGTGAGGCCACATCTGATGTATTAATTCCAATTTTGGGCCCCCCATTAGAGAAAGGTTTGGAGAGAGTCCAGCAGAGGGCAACAAAAATGATTAGGGGGCTGGAGCACATGGCTTATGAGGCAAAGCTGAGGGATTTGGGGCTTATTGAGTCTGCATAAGAGAAAAGTGAGGGGGGATTAAACAGCAGCCTTTAGCTACCTAAAGGGAGGTTCTGAAGAGGACGGAGAGAGGATGTTCTCAGAAGTGACAGATGGTAGAACGAAGAGCAATGGTCTCAAATTGTAGAATGGGAGGTATAAGTTGAATAACAGGAAAAACTATTTCCTTAGGAGGAGAGTGAAGCTCTGGAATGGGCTCCCTAGAGAGGTCATGGAATTTGCATCCCAAGAGGTTTTAAGTCCTGGCTTGATGAAGCTCTGTCTGAGATGATTTAGTGTGGGTCCTGCTTTGGGCAGGAGGTTAGACACAGTGACCTCCCAAGGTCTCTTCCAACCCTGTGATTCTATGATGCAGGTGGGTCCAGCCTCAGGATGCTGAGTAGAGATTGTTAAGTGAAAGATGTGTCACCACTGTTCTCCCCAGGTGGGCTGTGCGGTCATTGCAGGCTTGCTGCACTACCTCTTCCTGGCCTGTTTCGCCTGGATGTTCCTGGAGGCCGTGGTGCTCTTCCTCACCGTGCGCAACCTCGGGGTCGTCAACTATTTCAGCACCCACAGCCCCAAAATGCGGTTCCTGAGCCTCTTCGGCTACGGATTCCCTGCCCTGGTGGTGGCTGTCTCAGCCGCCATCATGCCAAAGGGCCATGGCAGGGCAGAGAAAGGAGGGAGTACCGGAGCTGCTAAAGCATGGACGGGATCATGTAGTGGTTAGAGAATACCCAGGTTTGAGACCCAGGCTTGACGCTGAGCAAGCCATTTAACTGTTCTATGCCTCAGTTTCCCCATATAACAAGTTGCCTCAATCTTGAATCTATTTTGCATCAAATTTTCTGGAGCCGTGTGGTAGAAAATTGACTAAAGATTTGTTAGGTGCCTTATAAGTCCATTGAAGTGTAGGCGGTTAGCCAGCAGGAGCCTCACTGACTTCATCTGATGCTGACTGAGTGGGAAAAGGGAAGTGAAGAGAATCGGTCCAATCTTATGCCAACACTGTGTGCACGAGTGCGTGTCCCGGCATTCCCCAGTGAAAGGTGCTCTGGATCAGTGGGTGTCTGTCTTGACAGCTGAGCTTGACTGTCCTTCATGAGTGAATGAATCAACTCCTAGCCTCTACTCGACTGAGGCGCGCAGAACCCTCATGTTCTGTTTCTCGCTCTGCGACTAACCTCTGTGGGTGGCCTTGACTAAAGTTAATAGATTCTATGGCTAGAAGGGACCAACCATGTGTCTGACCAATGAACATCACTTTAAACATTTTTGCTTGCAGCTGCTGGCTCAGCATGGAGAAGGGGTTCATCTGGAGTTTCCTGGGGCCGGTGTGCGCCATTGTGGGGGTAGGTCTCCACTGTGGCTTGGAACTGCTGCCTACTTCAACATAGAGAGATTTGGAGCTCTGCCTGGCTTCTCTTGCTAAGCACTGTGGATCACTGTAATGGGGCAGAACTCACCCCTCCTGAGTTCCCCCTTGGCCGAATACACCTGCCTGCACTCTCTCCTTTTAAAAGCCTTTTGGCAACTGGGCCCTGTGGCCGATTCACACCCCATGTAACTCAAACCCCTCCCAGGATACACATTTAACAAGGATCCACGTCTGTGCCCTCTGCTCTTAGTCTGTTTCCCCACTCCCAGAGAGCAGTGCTGCCAGGGCTTCCCCTCCTGAAGACAATGTCCTTGCCATTACCTCAGGGCTGTACACATAGAATCATAGAATCATAGAGCTGGAAGAGACCTCAGAAGGTCATCAAGTCCAGCCCGCTGACCAAGGCAGGACCAATCCCAACTAAATCAACCCAGCCAGGGCTTTGTCAAGCCAAGACTTACTCATCTCTAGGGATGGAGACTCCACTGCTTCACCACTCTCCAATGCTTCACCACTCCAATGCTTCACCACTCTCCAAGTGAAATAGTTTTTCCTAATATCCAACCTGGACCTCTCCCACTGCAACTTGAGACCATTGCTACTTGTTCTGCCATCCATCACTACTGAGAACAGCCTCTCTCCATCCTCTTTGGAACCTCCCTTCAGGAAGTTGAAGGCTGCTATCAAATCCCCCCTCACTCTTCTCTTCTGCAGACTAAATAGACACAACTCCCTCAGCCTCTTCTCATTGGTCATATGCTCCAGCCCCCTAATCATTTTGGTTGCCCTCCGCTGGACCCTCTACAATGCTTCCACATCCTTCCTGTAATTGGGGGCCCAGAACCGAACACAGTACTCCAAATGTGGCCTCACCAGAGCTGAGTAAACAGGAATAATCACATCTCTGGATCGACTGGCAATGCTCCTCCTAATGCAACCTAATATGCCATTAGCCTTCTTGGCTACAAGGGCACACTATTGATTCATGTCCAGCTTCTCATCCACTGTAATCCCCAGGTCCTTTTCTACAGAACTGCTACTTAGCCAGTTGGTCCCCAGACTGTAACAATGCTTGGGATTCTTCCGTCCCAAGTGCAGGACTCTACACTTGTCTTTGTTGAACCTCATCAGATTTCTTTTGGCCCAATCCTCCAATTTGTCTAAGTCACTCTGGCCCTATCCCTGCCTTCCATCATATCTACCTCTCCCCCCAGCTTAGTGTAATCTACAAACTTGCTGAGGGTGTAATCCATCCCTTCATCCAGGTCATTAATAAAGATGTTGAACAAAACCGGTCCCAGAACCGAACCTTGGGGCACTCCACTGGAAACCAACTGCCATTCTGACATCAAGCCATTGATCACTACCGGCTGGGCCTGACCTTCCAGCCAGCTTTCTATCCATCTTACCGTCCATTTATCCAATCCATATTCCCTTAACTTGCTGGCAAGAATATTGTGGGAGACCATATCAAAAGCCTTGCTAAAGTAAAGGTATATCACAACTACTGACTTCCCCATATCAACAGATCCATTTTCCTCATCATAGAAGTTAATCAGATTGGTCACGCACAACTTGCGCTTCATGAATCCATGCTGACTACTCTTGATCACCTTACCCTCTTCCAAGTGCTTCAAAATGGATTCCTTGAGGATCCTCTTCATGATTTTTCCAGGGACTGAGGTAAGATTGACTGGCCTATAGTTCCCTGGATCATCCTTCTTCCCTTTCTTAAAGATGGGCACTACATTTGCCTTTTCCCAATCTTCTGGGATCTCTCCCGATCTCCATGACTTTTCAAAGATAATGACCAAAGGCTCCTCAATGACATTTGCCAACTCTCTCAGTACCCTCAGTTATATTAAGTCCGAACCCATGGATTTATGTACGTTTAGCGTTTCTAAATAGTTCCCAACCTGTTCTTTCCCCACCAAGGGCTGTCCACCTTTGTTCCATATTGCTCATTAGTCTGGGAGCTGAACTTTTCTGTGAAGACAGAGTCAAAGAAAGTATTAAGTACTTCAGCTTTCCCCACGTCATCTGTCACTAGGTTACCGCCCTCATACAGTAGGAGCCCCACACCATCTCTGATCACCTCCTTCTTGCTAACATGCCTGTAGAAACATTTCTTGTTATCTTCACATCTCTTGCGAGTTGCAATTCCAATTGCGCTTTCGCCTTCCTGATAACTCCTCTGCATTCTCGAGCTATACATTTATACCCCTCCCTAGTCATCTGTCCAAGTTTCCACTTTTTGTAAGCTCCCTTTTTGTGCTTAAGTTCACCAAGGATTTCCCCTGTAAGCCAATCTGGCCTCCTACCATATTTGCTTCTCTTACTATGCATTAGAATGGTTTCTTTCTATGCCTTCAATAAGGCTTCTTTAAAATATTGCCAGCTCTCCTCGGCTCCTTTCCCTTTCATGTTAGCATCCCAGGGGATTCTGCCCATCAGGCCTCTGAGGGAGTTGAAGTCTGCTTTTCTGAAGTTCAGGGTGTGTATATTACTACTCTCTTTTCTTCCTGCTTCCCAGGTTGTCACCCAGCTCTACTTCCCCTATTAGCTCCTCTCTGTTTGTGAGCAGCAGGTCAAGCTGTGCTCAGCCTCTGGTCGGATCCTGCAGCACTTGTGCCAAGAAGTTATCCCCAACATTCTCCAAAAACTTCCTGGATTGTCTGTTTGCTGCCGTATTGGTCTCCCAACAGTTTTCAGGGTGATTAAAGTCCCCCATGGGAACCAGGGCCTGCGATCTGGAAACTTCTCTCAGTTGTCCGAAGAAAGCCTCATCTACCTCATTCACCTTATTCGGCGGCCTGTAGCAGATACCAACCACAACATCACTGCTCTTGCTAAACTTGACCCATAGACTCTCAACAGGCTTTTCTCCCTCTATATAGTGGAGTTCTGAGCAACCATACTGCTCTCTTACATGCAATGCAACTCCATCTCCTTTTCTCCCCTGCCTGTTCTTCCTGAACAGTTTATACCCTTCCATGACAGCTCTCCAGTCATGCGAGTCATCCCACCAAGTCTCTGTTATCCCAATCAAATTGTATTTCTTGGACTAGGCCAGGGCCTCCAATTCTTCCTGTTTGTTACTAAGGCTTCTCACATCTAGCCTGGACAATCATAATCGAACTTCAGTAGCTCCCCACACTGAGCTGTCCATGGTGCTTCTGCTCTCACAGCCAGCCAGTCCCATCTGCACACTTGCAGGGCACCTGAGACACTGACTGCTATTCTGGCCTCTAGCAGCTTTTATGGGCCTTCCTGGGCCCTGATTGACTGGTTTCTCCTGCAGCCACTCTAGCCTGCTTGGAGGACTTCTGTGTGGCTTCTCTTCTGTGGGGTATGGAAAGGCCACAAGCTTCCAGCAGAGGGATTTAGGGCCTGGTCCATTCTGTCATAGTCCCAGTCATCCCCTGGTTTAATGCTACAGACCTCAAAGGAGTCTATGCCTAGGAGGGTTTTGGCTCAGTGAGGGATGAAGCAATAAGAGCTCCCAGCTGAAGCTTGTGAACTCCAATTCATGCAACGAGTCTTAGAACATGTCCCATTGGGACATCCAGTTATCACACCAGATGCTCTGCTGGCATAAGTCAGTATTGCTCCAGTGGTTTCAGTGGTGCTTTGCTGATTTGCAGTAGCTGGGGACTTGGCCAAATAATCATATGGAATAGGAACACTTTTGGGGTATGTCTACACTAGCTCGTTAGTTCGAGCTAGGTAGGGTAATTAGGGCAAGCGAAGTTGCAAACGAAGCCCGGAATTTAAATATCCCGGGCTTCATTTGCATGTTCCCGGGTGCCGCCATTTTTAAATCCCCCTTAGTCCAAACTCCGTGCCCGCGGCTACACGCAACACAGAGTAGGTAGTTCGAATTAAAGATCCTAATTGTACCCCCACTGATGGTGATAATTTCTGCTTGTGCTCACGTAGAGGCCCCCGCCCTGCCCCACATTCTTTCCTCGGAGCCTGAGACAAATCAGGGTGAGTTACCCCCTTCTGCTTTGATTCCAGATCAATTCCGTCCTTTTTGCTGTAACCCTCTGGATGCTGCAGAGAAAACTTTCCAGCCTCAACTCTGAGGTGTCCACCCTCAAAGACACCAGGTAATGTTATTTTAAAAGCAGAGCTGAGATGGACAGTTCAATGGTAAGGGGGAGGGGACAGAGCGGGAACCAGGACTCCTGGATTATGTCCCTAGGTGTGGGTGTGGAGTGGCGTGAAATTGTTAGAACTGGGAGCCAGGACTCCTGGGTCTCTATTCCTAGCTCTGCTGCTGGCAGCATAACCTTGTGCAAGGTGTGCTTCAATTTCCCTCTTTGAAATAGGGCCAATACTATCTGAGGGTATGTCTACACTACCCTCCTAGTTCGAACTAGGAGGGTAATGTATGCATACCGCACTTGCTAATGAAGCCCGGGATTTGAATTTCCCGGGCTTCATTAGCATAAGCGGAGAGCCGCCATTTTTAAATCCCCGCTGCTTCGAACCCCGTGTAGCGCGGCTACACGGGGCTTGAACTAGGTAGTTCGGACTAGGGTGCCTATTCCGAACTACCGGTACACCTCGTTTCACGAGGAGTAACGGTAGTTCGGAATAGGACCCTAGTCCGAACTACCTCGTTCGG